CTGAGATCCAAACTGCAGCTTGCGTCAAATTTTGTGCTCCTCGAGATGGTTTACTTCAATTATCAACATTCCCGCGGTTTCGAAGGAATTTTCATTTGTTGTGTGATTGACTATACTGACAGCCCAGTCGATTTTCTATCACTGCGTGACGAGGCTGCAGGGGATTCGACTCATCAGGGGGTCCCCGACATTCCTCGTTTGCTTTCTGATAGATGCGTCATTTTCGAAACCTCACATTTTTCCACCACAAGTGAAGACGCGAGTTTCAGGAAGTAGTTGCCGTTTCAGCCACTTTCTCCGATGGTGGGTTCAAGTGAGAATCCGAAGCATCAGGCTAATAGAGCACTTGTCCCACCTCACTTTTTATTCCCCTCGGAAATTAAAGCGCTGACTAGGGGCAGACTCTTCAGTCCGAAGCTTTGTAGGCTCAGTCTTAGGTTCGTTGTGAATATTTGGGCTGAGATTCATCATATTCAGCGAGATAACTGCCAATATTTATAAGCCGCCAACAGGCAATCAGTAGCATACACACGTTGTATGATTCACTATACTGACAGCGCGGGTACTGCCATGGGTTTTATGAAATCTGACATTGGTGCCAGTTTGGCTACTGCCTTCTCCGTGTTGACAGCCAGTCTGGAAGTGGTGAACCCAGAATTAAAGAGGCTTTGTACTAGTTGGGTGTACGCCCCGGTCTTGGTGTTCATGGAACCGTTATCTATGAATAAAAGATAGTATAGCCCAGCCTTGGTGCCATGTACCAGATTTTCAACAACTTCTCGTCAGTTCTTTGATTAATATCAAGTTCAGTCTGCCCGCCACGATAACAGTTTATCGGCATGGCGACGAGCATTGAATTGAAGGGGGTTAGGATGATGCACAACCCGGCTTCCCCCAACCTGTCCTCCCAGAGCCATTCAATGTTTATAAATTATCCGCGACACCTGGCACTTGCCACTATGCCCCCGTGGTGTGGTCTGGACATCAGCGTTAGCCCTTTAAAACACTGACTTCCATGACTATCCTTTAGTCTGTTTGATTCCACAGTGGAAAACTTCACTTTGAGGTAGACGAAGATGTTATTTAGATTAGTACCCATCTCTTGTCATTTCCCTGAACTTTCGATACTACGGACGTCAATTACTTCCAGAATTCAGAGTGTTCCTGGAAATGAGCTCTTATCAGGTGTAAATTCAGGCAGTCGGGAAAAGTGTTGGTACGTTGATGACGTTGGTACCATGATTATTATCTCGTATTTGTCGGTTTCATTTTCTCTGTGAGCAATACTAGCGTCTTCGGAGTTCTCCTATGCTTATATATGCTTCTCATTGCCTGAAAGGACAAGGCCAAACTGTCCAAAAGTTGAGGGCTAGGATCCAGCCGGCGTCCGGAATATTTTCGCTGGCGATACTTTGCACCTCCTTCGTCTTCTGCGGGGGAGAGCAAACGATCAGGATCGGAATAACTTTCCTTACGAAGTGAAGACAACTGGTTAGGGCGCATACGAAGGGGCATTTTCAGCACTCTTAAATCTACGATTTTGTTTGGGAAGAGGACCTTTCCGGCTAGGTCCAAAAGCGACGCAATTTGGCTAGCCTGAAGGCCGAGGACTAAATTGAAGTAAGCAAAGAGGTTTTTCACTTAACAGTAGTCAGTGTGTCGGTGAAATTCCTCTATTTTACGCACCAACCAGGTATTCTGTACCTCCTTTAGTCTTTCTTCTAGTTGGTTTTGACAGGAGGTTAATGCAAACTGATTGGAAACGGTCCTCCAATTTGTGCTGTATCTGGGCCGGAACTCTAATCTAATTGGCGTTAATTCTGACTGGTGATACCGAGCGTGTTTTCTGTAAGGGCTAGTCTTACTCTGACCAACTTCCTTCGCACCGTCTTTTCCCGAGACCCTCTCTATGACGTTAGATTTCCAGCCTCATATTCGAGTCTACTAGGCGGTGAGCGGCGGTCTAGCATCCCGCGCCACACGATGCCTTCCTCAGCTTGCTTACCAGGTCTGCTTACGATCCGGTCTGAATCCGGCAGCCGCAACGACCCGAGCAGTGTGCGCACCCTTGTTTTGTTCTTGTGTCTGGGCGGGCAGAAGACGGTAGCGGTGATGAAGAGACTGTCCTACAGAAACAGCCCACTGTTGTTGCACTTACTCACACCATGACGAGCAAGCACTGAGATCTCCAAGTTTGTCGACCTTCGGCACAGACACGAGGTTTTTCCATCACACAGGTACAGACGCTGACGGTTGGGGCCGACTTATCCCTGCGGTGTGGCAGTCACATTATTCTGAAATGTACACTAACCCCAAGGCCGTAGGGAAGGTAACCACTCCACGGTATCGTCCCTGGTGGTGGGGCCGATTCCACCGTCAGGTACTTCAATGGCCGAATGTATGCAGATGGGATAGGGGCTTTGAATAAACTGAATATCGTTTGTTTGCAACCCCTTAAGCTTATGCAAAAAAGGTCCGAGATAAATATTCGGTTCAAATGCAGGTGACTCTGAGTTCAGCTATCACTTCGAGAGTAGGAGCTTAGCGAAGTCTCTTGGCTGAGAGGCCTGCAACAAGAACTCCCTTAAAATTTGGGGCTCATTTTCGTGCGGCTGCAAGTGCTTCCAGATTACTAGTCAACAGATTTGTTGCAACCGAAAGTCCTCCAAAGTAAGCTAACTTCGCACTTTTGAATGGAGAGTTAGACAAACTTGTTTTCATTGTCCCTACAGGCTTTTCCATAAAATCTGCAGAAAGGGAATTCTGTACCACAGCTCGTAGTCTGCTAATCACAGGAACACGTTTTATCAAACATTCGCAGGTGGATCTTGAAAAGCACGGAGGTGACGACGCTATCCCTCTACGTCTCGAATTCTTGCTATCATGCGCTTCTTCCTACAATATGATATCCGGCCATCATGTGTCTTGGCAGCCATGACAGCTGGGACACAAATGACTCGGAATGTATAACAAACCCTTACTGGAACAATGTATGAAAGGATTACATGACCAGATGAATGCAGTGCGAATAAATTCGGGCATCGAGAAATGATTTGAAAAAAAAGAAGAAAGTCTCCAAATCATTAAAAAGAAGAGACAGATATCCCGTTGTATGCTATTAGGAAGGAAATGACATTCCTAACTAGACAATAATGTGCTGGTGTGCGACAACTGGTCCATCCCATAAATTCAACCAAAAATCTGAAATTTGTTTTCAATTAGAAAGGGTTGAATCGGTGGTGCCATAATATTGATCATCCTGTAACATAGTCTCAAGATAGCAAATTACGCCTTCGCCAAATTTTATGCTTGAACAAAGGGCATTCTTCGGTTTTAAGAAAACGTTTCCCGCGAGGTTTGGTTCTGAAGCCCCACTTTTTTGATACCATATGGTTAGCTTCCTAAAACAAGCTTAGTGGATGTGAGTACTCTGACCATACAAATATCACGTGTTTGTACCTTCCTTGCCATTTTAATCCCGCGAGTGACTGTGCCACGGGGGAGGAGTGCGTATAATCTAGCCTCGGTTACTTCAGGCATCAGTTCACACGCGCCTCCCTGGGTGTGCTTTGAGCCCTGTTTGAGTTCTCTTTGTTATACTTATCCAGCGAGCGGCTAAGTAGCTTGCTAATAAAATTGTCCTGACGGACTAGAAGTCAATCGGTTCCACTACAATAGCCATGCACTGCGAATTACCACGCGATCCCCTCCGTGTTCTTCCGTTTGTGCTTGCACCTTCCTTATCCTACAAATCCAGCGAGTGGCTGTGTTGCAGGAAATATGTGTATAGGCCATCTTCACGCGCTTCCTTGCGCCTGCTTCGAGCTCTGCTTGCGCTCTCTTTCCTTCCCTAATCCAACGAGTGGCTAAATTAGGTATGTTAGCGAATATTGTTTTAGTTAGCTAATCATATGCCTTCAGTCAATTGGGGCTGCTGAACCCAACCTCGCTACTTTTTCAATTCCCCGACCTGTAGTTACACTGGTGACTGGGGTTTCCAAACCGCATGTGCATACTTCCGTCTAAGGCAAATACTAAATTCCTCTATGATATTTTAGGAATCAAAAGTTTGCATTGAATTTGGACCATGTCATATATTTCGTGAGCAGCGTAAATAAACCGACAGACACGATGCTGTATAAATGAAAATTTCATGGTCCAAAATCACATGATTACAAATTTTTAGAGGCGGAAGATGACCCTTGATCGGGTATAAAATTTGAAGGAGACCTAACCTGCCACCAAATGAATACAGGAAAGAATAATTTTATGCATGTCATTTATGAAGTATATTTCAATTAATAAGCCCAGCGAAAATAAATGGGGAACATTCAAACTACTAAAGTTATCATTTTTGCCGGAGAAGGTTTTTGGAGGTGGCCGAAAAGAAGTTTATTCGAAAGTTGGCATCCTGGCGTGACCGAAATTTACTGGAACTATGTCACAGGATGACGAGTACTACAGCACCACTTGAGTGAAACTTACTAGTCGAAAACAAATTTCCGCATTTCGGTTAACATTACCCGAGCTAGGCCAGCTACGGTGCATAACCTATAGTTCAAAAAACAAGAAGTTTTAAAATGTACGTCGGCGCCTGTACTGGGTAGGACTGTCGCCTACTCATGACATGATAATAGGAACCTCCTACAACAGGGGTGGCTTTGAGCCAACATCCAACGAAATTGGGGTTAGGTCTAGGTTTACGGCTAAACTTAAAGGTAACGGCAAATAAAGTTAGTATCAGGTCTAAGGCTAGAATAAAGATTGGGACAACGGTTTACCTTTATATTAGGTTTGTTGTTGGGCTTGGGACGCAAGAACATTTTAACTCTTTCCGAATTATGCACAGCTCCAACTTTTTTACTTTGGCGGGGCGTTCCTATTACCATGTCCTGTTTAGGGACCATATAAGCCAGCCCTACAGTGTACTGAGATCCAACCAATGAATTTGGTCTATTAAACATGAACTCTGGGGACGCAAGATACTGCCGATAGAGACAATGGAGGCTAGAATGACCATTCTTGACTCATTTGAAGTCGTCATCCAGCCACAACCTAAAGTCAAGGGAGGGAGACACAAGATGTGGATACGAGTAAGGTGAGCTCAGCTGACAGGCCAGTCATTTATGCCCGGTTTGCGGTTGTAATATGGCTGAGTTCTGACGGTAAGACCGAAATGGCTGCAACAGTTCCGCCTGTCTGATCAGAAAAACATCCTCGATTATCACAGTTTGCCCGCCGGGCAAAATTTCAGATCGACCTTTTGAGCATATGTTATGACATTAAACAGAAAATTATGTTAGCACATTTTTACGAAAACTCGTAGTTCCGAGGAACTATAATTAACTTTGGATCCCAAGGTCAGCACAGCTTTAGCTCTATGTAGCTCCAGCTGGCATTCAAGAGAGCATCAAAATCGGTAAATTAGGAGTTGCGAGTCGAGATGTGGCGGCTAATGTGTTTGGTAAAGGGGGGCTTCGCAGCACGAGTTTTGGGGAGAAGTAACTACTCTTACCACCAACCAGCGGTTACGGTAGACTATTTCCATGGAGCATTTGTAATGAGCTGTTAATAATTATCTGAGTAGGCAGTTAACGCAATCTAGGGAAAGTCAGCATAACTTCCGCTAAAGGATATGGTTTTAGTTGATAAAGTTTAACGTCTAAAAGACTTACGACAGTCGACGGAGCGTCAGCGTTCGTACAGACTAACCGAGAAAGTGGTCTAGTCATCCGCCACCAGAAGGTTGACTCCGAAGAAAAGGGGGGTGGTCATGTAGTACTATGCACCTTCTAGGTTGGCAATGTCTCCTCCTCCCCCCCCCACCACCACCACCACCATCCCCTCCTCCTCCTCCTCCTCCTCCTCCTCCTCCTCCTATTCCTCCTCCTCAACCATCGCCGCCGCCACGACCATCCCCTATTCTTCTTTTTCCTCTAACGCATTCTAGTCGATCACTTAAAGCAAAAAGCTGGCATGCCATCGCGTCGTTGACTTTACAGGTCATCGAATTTCGATCTTATTTAGGACGTGAAAGAGACTATCTGCTATTGCGTCATGGTCCGTCGACACTCTCTGAATATCTTGTAAGTGGACTCTAAGAGCAGTTCCGGAAACAGTTTTTATATCAGTAGCAGCACGAGCAGCGCTGCCGAATGATTTCCTTCTGGGCGATCAACTCGTCTTGCCCCTTCGGCCGGATGTGGTTTGGTAGCCACACATGAAGTAAACGAACCTCAGTTACATTAAATACGGGACCGGTGGTAATAAGGGTTTTACAGGTGGGGCCGGGGGACGCACAGGCGACGAGGTCAAGTAATCGTATGCAAAAGAAAAGCTATTGGGAATGCGCGGTTGTACTTTGAGTGTTTGAGAAATAGTTGCCCTAACCCCTAACATTAATCCTAGTCTATCGGCTATCGAGTTTTTGAGACTGCAAGACCTCACGGTCCGACGGGATGAAAGACCTTCACAACCGCTTTTGACATGTGTTATTACACTTCGGTATTCTTAAAGAAGTCGGGTTTGTCGACTGATCGAGTAAACGTCTGACATTCACATCTCCTTCGCCTACTGTACCACGTGGTTATCGTCTTGGCCCATTATTTAGACTGCGCTGGCGCCGCATGGCAGCATGTATCGCCATCTGGGAATTTTCGTCCCGTGGCCACTAGTTGGGGACTATGTATCTTCATATCCAGTTTTTGACGGGTTTTTCCAACCAAGTCACATTTTCCGCTATTGTATTGTATTTGGGAAGGTTATGGATGACGCCTCCTGTCTGGTAATTGTATTTCGGTAACGAAGCGTCGCGTCAGCTTGGTTGACGGTTCCGATCTCATGGGACCTGAAAAGTCCTCCAGTCCTTTGTCATGGTTGACTTCCTCTATTCTACACCTTCGGGGTCGCTGGATTCCCCAGAGGAACGCTCATGAGCATCTGGTGTCTCCAAACGGCTCCATGCAGTTCGATATTGTTGCCAAAGCCTACTATCTTCACAGTTTCTATCTGTTTGCTCTACACCACTATCCCCCGGCTGACCGTTGGGTTGGCAGCTAACTAGAATGGTAGGGGAGAGAATCCGTTCATGCACCGTTTCATACGCAGTGAATCAAATATCCGAGATGAACATTCTGAATTGGACCTCAAGAAAAAGTTGTAGTTGAGAGGGCATTACCAATGATTTACCAAGTATACGTGGGATAACGCGCTTGGGGAAGCGTAAGGTTCATAAATTTTGTATTGACGGACAATGCTTGATTAACTTGATGATCAGATGGCAGAGGACTAGGAAGAAAAAACCCTAAATACTCTGAAAAAGAACTGGAAGATCTTCAAGCGACAATTATTTACTTCAATGCTAAAGACGTCCTATTTCTAAGACTCATTATAGGTGGTATTCAGTAAATCATAAAGAGGCCTTTGTCTTTCAAACTTAGTAAGGTTCCTGTTAACAGGTAATGAAGGTGTGACATCCATAAGTACGTGAAAATGGTCAGCATGCGGGTTTAACACAAGGTACTGATATATGGGTTTTGAGTACTCTTATGTGCAAGCTTCGGTGCACTTATAGCTTACTTAAGACTGTCCGGCCCTCAATAAAGTCTGGAACCACTAACGACCTAGGGACTTAAAATGGCAAATCAAGGTCACTGTTAATAGTATGACTTCCAAAACTTGTGTTTATTTATAGTATTTTTTGACCGAACCATATGCGGCATAGAATGGACGAGGAAAGCGGGAGAAATGAGTGCACGAATTGGGTGGGAGTAGGAAGATCAAGAGCGGTTGCGTGCATGCAACAGCATTCGGTCAGATGTGATTATATAGCCCCACCTGGGGTAAACAAACCCCAGCCACCTGTAATACGGGCTCGGTGGTAGTAAGGGGTTCTACACGTGGGGTCGGGGGACGCACAAGCGACGAGGTCAAGTAGTTGTATGCAAAAAAGCTATTGGAAATGCGCGGTTGTACTTTGAGTGGTTAAGGAATAGTTGGTCTACCCCTAACCCTAACCCCTAACTCTTAACTTAATCCTTAACCCTAACACCTTGCCCTAACTCTGCTCCCTAACCCCAACTCGAACAGTATTGTGCCCATCAGGTGGGGCTACATAACCACATTTTACCCAGCCTTTGTCATGGCCGCTTGAGGTCGGCTCACCACAGCACGAAGTGTTGACTTCCACCGCGCTCAGTCGGTGGCAGACACCGAGTTCACTTGAGCCAAATGGCACGCCCATCCTACGGACCGACAGCCGCTTATCCATAAATGCGCTTAAAACCAGCCTTTACCACATTCGTTCACCTTTTCATTTAGCCAGCAGGAAAAGCCTAACAAATGAACCTTCAAGCAAACGCTTTTAAGCCACAGGTAAATCTGTTTGTAGCGCATTCGCTGAACCATCAGACCATGTATGAGCATTCGGGAATGTTTGGTGCTTTGCAACGTCTACTCCGATTAATTCTGATGTCACTACCACCGAGGATCGCAATTTCCCAACGTGCATCAAGGATCAACATTCAGTCTAATGGAAGTATGCATAACACTCCCCTAATAACAATATTTTGGGGCGCCAGTGGATTCAGGCTTTATTCCCGAGACTTCTTTTGAGCAGCGGTGGAGGTCACAGGGTTGTACTCCCACGGTTATTACCGATAATTAGGCTTTAAAGATTGCGTGCGTCTGGTATGCCATGAGTTAGCAAACCGCGGCCCTCGCAGTCTGGTGTGCGCTGGCAGTTCTCAGGCACCTGGTTCCCTGCCGGTAGATGCGCATGCGCTCCCGCTGTGTATAGAGACCGTGTGCATGGTTGTCCTTCTGACTCATTTTTGTCGTCAGTTAAAATCCTAATCAAGTGTTTATTGCGCGCCAGGGGGTGTGGTGGTACGCCTAGGCGCGGGACCGACCGTGCCAGCCAACTACGCCCTCCCAGCCTCCGGTTCTCTTGACCATGTCTTGACACTGGGCCCAGGTGGGGAAGAAGGGGAGAATGCAGTAAACGTTGAGCAAGTTTACTACAAACTAATTCATGCGCTGGTCATCGTGCCTGTTCTCACCTTGCGTAGAGCATACGGTGGACATCGTTAGACACGACAGCCTAACTGCCATTAATGTGAATTGTCTCATCGCATATCTAATGTTCAGATTTCTTTCAGATCCCCAGAGAATGCGCCAGTCTATCAAGTTATATAGAAGCAGAGCACATAAAGGCGCTTCCTCAATAACCCGATCTCGGCATCAACAATGTCTGGTACATAAACAAAATAACTTTTTTTCTTATGGTTGTAATTCCAAAGGTCTCTAGGCGCTTCCAGTGGAAGGCAACTTCAGGAAAAATTTCCAAGGTGAGATCCTGATGAGAAGAACTCCATCACACATCACCCTCGTTTGATCCCAGCGAAATCCACGTGTTCGATCCTCTTCTACTGCCAAAAACATTGACGTTTCACCTGGGCAGCAAAATCGGAGATATATAGTTTAATGAATATGTTTTACTCAAATCTAATAAGTAGATTAACTATGTAATTTTCAGACTAAACTAATCTCTAGGTGACGTTCGAGAGCAAATCTCAGAGGCAGTACAATCGTCCTATTTTTTCTAACATACAGGCTAAATCAGTGTACGTCTTCCCCGCGAGTTTTGAACATAACCGGCTGAAAGTGGTAGAGTGGAAGACCGTAGCTAAATGATCGCCTGTATCCTGGTATTTCTGGACTGAAATTAGGATACCGCTGACTGCCTGACGGTGACCAAAGGCAGGGAATGGCTATTCGAACTCACACAGTTCTTTCTGAAAATATTTTAGATTGACGTTAAGTTATTTTGGCAAGGAGGGCTTCACGGAGGAGGAAACTTCACGGAACCAACGTTGCTTAGCCCTTGTGGAATTTCAGGACTCGCCTTATTGTCTAAAGCAAAATACACACATTAAAAGCCATGTCAAAACAAGCATAAAACATGTTACATTCAAGCCCACATAGGATTCCCAGTTATTATGACTACTGTCGTTCCAACCGAAAAATTTTAGAAATCAGTAGTCATTCTCTTCGAAATTCATTCAAATATATAGTATTCCAGCCGGTCTATGCGGAAATACACATTTATGTTCTCAATTGTGTTACCAACTGTTAATTAAAATCAAAAATAAATTTGGTTATATAACTCCATCCACCTCATAATTTATGGCAGTATGCACACTTCCGCCCTTTCCCTCTTAAGGCATTTTCGGGAAGGTGAGTATTTTGACCTATTGCAACAGATTGTTTAATATACTATACTACTGTGTCAAATTCCAATCATCCGCATTCATCCCTGTCATCAGCGATCTTGTGAAGATATCTCTCATTTCTAAAACCTTTCTGTAACAATGCAGAAAAGGAGTCCATAGCACTTTCTGCCCAGAATTCCCACACTGCATATGGAGACACGCACATACGGGGTACCGGTCGCGAACGATTTTCGGGATGCCATCGCTGTGCAGAGAACAACCTCTTGAGCCCATAGCTGAGGGCTGAGCGTCAGATGGATCAGTGCAGGGAACCCACCACGTCTACGGACAAGTTTGATGAGAATCGTCAACATATTACATTGAAACGGCCAGTCAGACGCATTGATGTACATAAAGTGACTACACGACCACAGCGCGATCTACCGCTCACGATACTCTGTGCGAACCCTGATCCACCATACCTGTTTTAAATCTTAAGACGAGCGATCTGATGACCTCGCCCTTTATCCAATCATCAAATAAAATTCTAATTTCCTTATATGCCCGGCATGCGGGTTTTGTCAAAGGGAGCCACTTAATTCACTGTAGTATTTGCTTGAGATAAATCGGTGGCAGAGATGGAGGAAGCGGCGATGTCTGTGAGTATTCTTCTGTCCGGACATGCAAACTACCACTCCCAAATGAAGATGCCCAAATGAATATCTGGACAGGTCGGCAA